GGTCGGCGCCCGGCCAGGCCGTGCCCTTCGCAGGGAGGCGGCAGCCGCGGGGGGCGAGATAAACGTCGGCGTGTCCGCTGTCCCCACGCACCTCCCCGGGGCTCGGGCGGGCTCAGTTGACCTTTGAGAGGGGCTTCGACTGTGTTGGGGAGGACAAAAATGCGCCGTTCCGAGTTTTTCTCTGGAAAGGGCCCAGACGAGGATTAGTGGAGGGAGGGCGGTGGGGAGACACGGAGCCGGGCGTGGGGGCGGTGGGGAAAAGCCTCAGGGACGTGGCTCCAGGCAGACATGTGTCATTCCTGAGAGGGGGGGTGTGGGCTGGTGGCAATGGCATCGGGGTTCCCAATTCCTTTTTTCCTTCGTTTGCATTAGGTTAAGCAAAATGCAGGCTCCTCTGGCTCTCGTCAGCTCTCCAGCTTTGGTAAGTTGCCTTTCTTAAGGATAATAATTAGGTATTATAATTTTTAGTGGGAATACATGCTTGTGGAACCTTTGTCTGTGGTGTTTGATTCAAAACACTGTCCTGGCCACCCTCAGCTGAGGTGAGATCGTGTGGGTTTGCTTTACTGTGGATTTAACAAGGAGGGGAAACAAGGTGACCTCTGGTGACCAGAGGGCGATAGCTACCATCTTAGTGGATGTGCATTGAACTGCAGGCCTGAGGGTTTCTGCGGAGATGAATTAACTATCATAAAGACGTTCAGCTGTCCCTTTCTCTCAAGGTATGCATTAGCAAGAGAACATACAGAATTGTAATGACTGAGCTGCTGTAGCAGAGATGATGCTCATTGTGCTGCAGTGTGTGGTCTCTGGTAGTACTACTCCCAGCCTTAATCCCACTGGCTAAAGTAGAAATATCCTAGATTTATATATGCCTTTGCTTTTTAGTCTTGTTTCATTCTTAAGATGTTTTTTAAAATTCCAAGATATTTATTAAATAACTTTTTCTGAGGATTAGTGCAGATCTATCCCGTGATAGGAGTTGTCTTGTGTTTCATTTCAGTTCCGGTGCTGTTCCAGGGCTCTGGCCAGACCAGTTTCAGTGTCTGTTTTCAGCAGGCCTGAAGTTCAGATTGTACAGGTGAGACTCTTACATGGTAAACTGGGTCCTGTATTTTTGTGCTTGATGCCTGTGATATGTCACGATTCCTGCTGGGATGGAGGAGTACGTTTGTATATCAAGAAGATGGCTAATAGGGGGATATAACTTCTAGCCCAGATTGGTGATGGCTTCGCAAGCTTGGCTGATTTTGCTCTGCCTTGAGTAGAGGATAAATGTTGATAATATTTTATTAAAATAAATATTTATGATTAAAAGTGTCATTAGTGTGTTTTTTATCCTGTATCCCACAGCCAGCTGGCGTTTCCCATCCGCAGCTGACACGCCGTGAGTTCCAAACCAGTGCTGTTTCCAGGGATATCGACACTGCTGCTAAGTTCATTGGTGCTGGTGCTGCCACGGTCGGGGTGGCTGGTTCAGGGGCGGGTATCGGAACGGTGTTTGGCAGCTTGATCATTGGCTATGCCAGGTAAGGAAGATGCCAGACTGGTTTGAATTTATTCCCTTCCTCCAGTACTATATTTAGTAGATTGGTAGAGCTTTCTCTGTAATATATGTCTAGCTCTACATGTCTAGCGTGTCCAAGCAGGTACCGTGTTTAACTGGATATAAAATGGTGGTTATAGTCCGTTATTCTATTAAAATAAGAAAGCAGTTGAATTGTTTGAATCCACCCTATAGTTCTGAATGATGCAGCTGCCCTGTGGAGCTCTGCCTTCCTCTAGAAGAAATGAAGGGCTAGTTGTTAGAAGGAGCTGTTGCTTGGTACCACCAGGGCATGTGGAACTAGCCTTCAGGGCCCAACATGTCTACATCACTAAACCAAGGGAAAAATCATGGCTTTCTTATTCCAGCTGATGGCTGCCTGCCATAAAACTGGTGTGTGCTCCAAAATCTGTTGCTTATGTGCCACAGTCCTGGCTTTCTGTGATACGGGCTCTGGATTGGGGTTTTTTTTCCTCACTGTGGAACTTCTTTTTTATTTTTTTTGTCCCCCCCAACTCCCTGTCTCTCTGGTTTGTTCCTCACCTTGTACAACCTACAGGAATCCGTCTCTCAAGCAGCAGCTCTTCTCCTATGCCATCCTGGGTTTTGCCCTGTCTGAGGCCATGGGTCTCTTCTGTTTGATGGTGGCATTCCTTATCCTCTTTGCTATGTGACAACTTCTGGTCCTGGCTGCGGCTTCCATCACTCTGTCCTCCACGGTTTGAGTCTGCTTCCATCAGAGCGTTCCAGACTGACAATTAAAGAAAAGATTTCTCTAAATAAATTGGTGGCTTTATTTTTTCTTACGTTCTGGTCCAGTGGTGGGGAAGTACTTGGGGAAATTGGTGTATTGGTTGAAGAGGGTAATGTCCCAGGTGTGGGGGTACCCACTAATAAAGGAGAAGAGGAATATGAAATGGCGGTGGGAGGGGAGGGGAAACTAATGTGAGTCAGATAAAAAGAGGATGTCCTTGAACAGCTCAAATCTCTCCAAAAATCCCAACAAGCATTGCCCTAGTGAAGCAAATACTTCCAGATGAGCTGACAAAGTGTTGGTGTTTTCCACTTACTGTTGTTGAAAATGCTATGCTGCCTTTTCTTTTTTTTTTTTAATCTGACTATGTAGAAAAGGTGATGTGTACGGGTGAAGGTGCTTAGAAGTTTGTTAATGGAGTTTGCTTAACTAAATTACAAGGACATGAGGGTATGCACTGGCCATATCCAAATCTTCTTCCTTAGCAAAGAAGAGCTGGTTTCAAGGTCACACACACACTATTCATGCTCCTTCTCAAGGCATCAGTTTACACAAAGAACCAGAGCGTTATTTCTTCCCTCCCCCAACAGTTATGTGCTTCAAACTGTTTTAGCTATTGCAGTATAGTAGAGAGGAGAAATGCTAAAATCTGACCCGAACCTCAAACTTTGTGCCTTTAAGGAAGGAAGCTGAGCACTGGGGGAGCTTGTCTTGTTACCTGCTTTAGGTCATTGAATTAATGCAGCTACTCTGTGTGTGTGCTTAAAGCTACTGCAGCATGGCTGTGACCTCTTTGGGGGTAGGAATGGGGTGCAGGAGCTCCCCTGTGAGGGGAAGAGGGGCTGAGAAGATTATTTAAAAAAAAAAGAACAACTCTGAGACTTCTTGAAGAAAGGTGACTCTGAAACCAAAAAGATCTCAAAGGAGACTTGCTGGGTGAACTAGGGAGGAAAAATCCTACATCTGCAGCCAGGCAAACAGCACTGTTACATGTGTCTAAGCTCGCTACATTCATTCTCTCAGAGGTGGGAAACTCTGGGTAAGTAACTGCTTGTATTCATGGAGCAACAAAAGTGACCTTGGCCCTGAAAGCTCTGGGCACCGAGTGCTGCTGGGGGGCTCTGGCAGGTGTTTCGGGGGTGAGATGGCTCGTGCAGGCCAGAAGCAGAGCCGCAATAACGGCTTCCCCCTCTCCCAAGGGGCCATTTTGCTCCCTGGGGCGGGTGGCCTGAGGCTGGGCACCCCGGGAGAGCTCTGGGCGCTGCCCCAGGCCATGGCTGTGCCTCGCTCCGGCCTGAGCCGCTCTCCTGCCGCGTCTGTTGCAGCAGCCGCTTCCCAGCGTAGGGTTGTTTGTTTTTTTTTTCCACCCAAAAAGCCCCAAACTCGTTATTTCTGCTGCTTCCAGCCCGGGACACCCCCGCCGCAGCAGGAGGCGCGCTCCTCCCGGTGGTACACTCTAGCCTACGCTGAGGCGTCTCTATGGAAGGGGCGCTCTGGCGCCGCATGGGGGCGAGACTCTATGGTGGGTGGGGGGAGTTAGTGGCGGCAGTGGGAGGGGGGAGC